CATCCTCCCCCCGTTGAGAGGGCACCGATCAAGTTCTATATGTGGGTGTGTGATCCACCTCCTTCGATGCCAGTGATTGTCCGGACTCATCTTGAACTGATTGACATGGCAGGGGGACCAGTCGTTTGACGCCGCGGTCCAGGAGGCTCGATGATGTCTGCACAGTCGCTGTCCGTATTATGCCACCGGCTTCGGGATAGACCTTGACTACACGGCCCAAGGGCCAATGCATCGATGGAACGTTGTCTTCTCTGAGGAGGACGATTGTATCTTCTTGTATGTTGTGTCCACCCTTGGTCCATTTACTGTGGTTGTTCAATTGATTGAGGTACTCCTTATGCCAGCGTTTCCAAAAATGTTGTTTATGTTTTTGGATATGCTGCCATCTGGAGAGCCGGTAGGATGAAGTGTCCCTGAAATCTCGCTCACGCACACTCATTAATGACTCGCCGATGAGGAAATGACCCGGAGTGAGGACGAGGAGGTCCTTGGGATCAGTGGATATGGGTGTTAATGGTCGGGAGTTGAGAACTGCTTCGATTTCTATGACAAGTGTATTGAATTGCTCGAACGTAAACGACTCATTACCGACGATGCATCTGAAGTGATGTTTGGAGGACTTCACCGCTGCCTCCCATAGTCCCCCGAAATGTGGAGAATGAGGAGGTATGAAGTGCCATTCGATTTGCTTGTTGGTTAGGAAAGTAATTACCTTTTCGATGTGATCGTCCGATTTTAGCAATTCGTAGAGCTCCCTTAAGTCGTTGTTTGCGCCGATGAAATTTGAGCCATTATCGGAATGGAGGGCCGAACAGAACCCTCGCCGTGCAATGAATCGACGAAGAGCGGCAATGAAGGCTTCGCTCGTGAGATCGCCAACGAGTTCGATGTGCACCGCCTTGACTGCTAGGCATATGAAGATGGCTACATATACCTTGTCCTGTCGACGGTTACGCTCTCGTTTCTCCTTGATGTAAAATAGCCCACAGCAATCGACGCCGACGTTTGTAAATGGTCGAGATTCAGTTACTGGAGACTCCGGCAGATTACCCATTATGTAATCTACTTGTGGTGGATGAGCACGAACACAGTTGATGCAGTTTTAGATCGTATGCCATACCTGACTTCTGCCATCGACGGGCCAGTATCGCTGTCTCACTGCGTATAAAGTCGCTTGTGTACCTGCGTGTAGACTGACCTTGTGCTCGTTTTCGATGATCCGGGACGTTGTCGGAGATTTAGGTAGGATGATCGGGTGCTTCTGTGTGAAGGCCATCGGTGCTTGACTCAGTCGGCCCCCGACGCTCAATATTCCTGCCTTGTCTATAAACGGACTCAGTCGTTGGAGTTTCCCATTGACCGGCATGTTTCGATTCTTCCGGAGCGTGGATAGCTCTTCTGAAAAATGAATATGTTGGAGTAACCGAATAAGTCTGTCATGGGAAACCTGTAATTCTGCTGCGCCTAGTGGTGACGATCGGTTTTGTGCTTGTCTCCAGCGGATGCGGATTAACCTTGGCCACGATGAAAATCTGTCCAAGAGGCTGTTGTCGACAGGAGTTGTGGCGAGATAAGTTGCTGCTTTCCGTTCTGGTAAGTTGGCTAAAGGTGTTGGACTCCACATCGGCCAACATTCTTCTGGTTGTTGCAGCTACCGTGGTCCAGTTTGCCACATGTTAGGCTGCAGGAAGTCTTCGGCTGATTGTCCTCGAGAAATCAGACCCGCCGGATTGTCATTGGTGGGAACATGACGCCAATCTGTGAAGCTAGTTTTGTTCTGTATCTCGGCTATGCGATTTGCGATGAATGTTTTCAGTGTGTGAGGTGACGAATTGATCCACTTAAGAACAATGGTGGAATCCGTCCAATAAACTGTACGCTTTACCTCGATATGCAATGCTTGCCTTATGATTGCAATTAGTGACGTGAGTAGAATAGCGCCACTCAGTTCAAGTCGTGGAATTGGTTTCGAGCGGAGCTACCTTCGATTTCGCAGTGAGTAGTCGTGTCTGGACGCTTTCGTAATGATCGAGAGACCTCAGATAGACACAGGCTCCGTATGCCCTTTCGATGGCGTCACAAAAGCCGTGGAGCCCAATCTCGATGAGTGCTTTTATTATGGTCTTGCGTGGGAACCGTATCTCGTTGAGTAGTGATAGTTTGGTGTAGTAACGGTTCCACTCGGAATGCAAATCCGCTGGCAGGGCCTCGTCCCAGTCGACCTTTAGCGACCAAACTCGTTGAAGTAGAATCTTCGCTCGAACGATCACTGGTGCAAGCAAGCCTAGTGGGTCGTAGATTCTGGCGATCACCGAGCTGATGGATCGCTTCGTAACCCGAGAAGTCTTGGCGTTGGCTTCGAGCGAGTAGAGTATTGCGTCGTCCTTGGAATCTCAAAAGATGCCTAGTGTTTTTAGGGTTTGATACTCACCTAATTGTAACCTTCGGCTTTTGTCCTGTTCGGATAACCCTTGGAGGATGCTTTGGTAGTTGGAAGCCCATTCTCGAATGTTCAAACCGGCGGATTGGAGAAGTTCGGTTAGTTCCTTTCTGAGGGGCAGTACCTCTTCCTTCGTGTCCGTTCCGGTGAGGGCGTCATCGACGTAGAAGTCTCGTCGCAGAGCCGATGCCGCTCGTGGAAATCGATGTCCTTCGTCGTCTGCCAACTGCTTGAGACACCGTAGGGCTAGGTATGGAGCTGCCGATAACCCGAACGTCACGGTGTTAAGTTGGTAGGTGTCGATTTCCCCCTCCTCGTTTCGCCTTCGTCTCCCTCCCCCTCCTTGTTGCGCCAAACGATTTGTTTATATTGTCGGTCCTCTGGTCGCACCAGGAATTTCCTGTACATCTTCTCGATGTTCCCGATGAGTACATACTGATGCAGACGGAATCTAAGCAGGATATTGAATAGATCCTCTTGTAACTTGGACCCTGTATAGAGTGTGTCGTTTAATGATACTCCGGCGCTGCTAGCCGCGGATCCGTCGAACACGACTCGGAGTTTCGTTGTTTCGCTCGCTGCCTTGATCACGGCGTGGTGTGGTAGATAATACCCGCCTTCGTCGGTGTTGTCGGGACTTTTTTGACATGTGTCCTCGATCTAGATAATCTTGGATTACCGCTCGATAATCGGCTTCAAAGCGCCTGTCGCGCTGGAATCGGCGGTTGAGGGATGCGAGTCGTTTCATTGCCAATGCCTTGGATGATCCGTGCGATGGGAGCTTTTCGTTGAACGGGAGAGCGACGATGTATCGTCCTTCGCTGGTGCGTCGGGTGTGAGCTCTGAAATGGTCTTCGCATCGTCGCTCTGCTTCTGAACGATCTTCGCATCGTCGCTCTGCTTCTGAGATGTGTTTGATTAGGGGTCCTTCGTCGATTTCCTAGAACCGCGTAAGGTCTACTTGCAGAACCGTCGTGGATGCGTGAAAAGTGTTTGTCGCGGTTGAGGAAGTCGGACTCCCCCTGATTACCCAGCCGAATAGTGCTTTTTGCGAGCGCAGTTCCGGTTCGTCCGGTCGCGTCAGGTTGATTTGTCCGACGTACATCGACGAAAGAGTTGTGCCCGAGCTTAATAAGACATCGATCGGGGAAGACACATGAAATCGGGGATCGGCTAGCTTGATATTCCTGGATATGTCAAGCGCCGAACGATCGATGGGCTGACTTGAGATCAGGTGCGTTATGGCTGGAATGACGAGAAATGTCAATGTGCATTCGTACTTGCCGTCAATGGAAGTGATCGTCGCCCGTATGAGTCGCCTTGATGTCGTCGTCAATGTATCGAGAGCTCCAATTGGGACCGAACACTTCCTTTGCCTTATTCCGAGGATGTTTGCAAGCCTTTCTGTGATGAAGTTCATGCTGGATCCGGTGTCGAGGAGCGCACGGCACTGGATCGGTTGCTGTTTGTTGGTTAGTATGTGGACTTGGGCTGTGGTCACTATGTGGGGCGCGTTGACGAATCCGAATGGTTTGTTCTGGTGAAGTTCTTGGTTGTTGAACCGTGGGAAACGGTCTGGAGTTCCGTGCTAATTTCTCGAGGAATTTTAGCAAATGACTATACTGAGGCACTTCGTGGTCAGACAGCGTCATTTCCCATTGTTTTTGGATACTTAATGGTACCTTCGACAAAATGATGCAGTTAAGTAGAGCACTGCTATCGGGGTTGACTTGTCCTAATTTGTTTAAAGCACATATATGTTGCTTAATAGTGTGGGCTAAGCGCCTTAATTCCGTTGAAGACTCGTTGGTTAATTTGGGGTAATCAAGCATTGTCATGCAATGATTGAATGCGGTGTATCGAGGACTCTCTAGTCGGATTATCGCTCACTGTATTCGACTTGTTGACTGCTTGAAGAGATGCTTGATTGAGACTGAGCTTTTCGCTCTTGTGCTTTTCCGGAGGAAAGTTTGGTGTGAGTGGGCCCTATGAATGAAGAACGCGGATTCGTTTTTCACACCTTTCGTTAAGGAGGTGAGGGTAAAGATCCGCGATGCCGATTGGTTATGACCCCTGCTAATGAAGAAGGATATGGGGAAGTCTCCCACCAACGTGGATCGGGGTGACTTCATTCTTGGGGAAAACCAGTCGTTTTCGATGGCCATGTGTTCGGTTTTCCGTTCGGCGACTACCCGCTTTCTCCGTGAATTTTGAAAGCCTAATAATCTCAAGGACTTCTCCGGAACTCTGACATAATCGAAAATACTTCTAGGCAATAGCTTGACTGATAAACGTGTGGGAACAATGCAGTTAAAAAGTGCCGTTTTATGGTGGATCCGTTTTTATGAGTCTGGCCCCCCTATTTCTATTTCTAACGGCACGTGGTCCGACTCTGTTCTTTTTCCTACTTTCATGTCGATTATTTCTTTTGTCGCCACCTGATTGCCAATCACACAATCTATTACTGAGTTTCCTCTCTCCCCGATATATGTCCACTCCTCCTCTTCTTAATCTCTTCCATTGATTATCATCCAGCCTCTCTCTTCCAGGTACTTCAACAGAGTTCTTCCTTCCATGTTTATCGTCATGTCTTTTGATTGCCTGTTTTTTTCTTTCCCTAGATCCTCGTTTATCGGCCCTCCCTCTTCTCCTTCTTCCTGCGTTCCAATCAACGCAGATGATCATCACTTCCTCCTCTCTTCGGTCTACTCTTTCCTCTATTTCTTTCCATGTTCCTTTTGGGTCTTGATTATAAACCATCATTACCCTATACGTCTTATCATACGTCTTATCATCCAGTATATTATCACTTATTTCTTTGTAATCTATTTCTCTCAGTTCCTTATTTATACCCGTTATTATTCCTCCTTTGCTCTTCCTTTTTTCCTTACTCTCATTGCTGCCCTGCATTTCCAGTCGAATTCTCTGGGTAGTCTATATTTCAGATTTTCCCAATTGTCTTCCTCTATGTATGTTTCCGTGAGCTTGATCACGTCGAATTTCTTCAAATATTCCCACATCTCCTTGACCTTACTTATTAGCCCTGCCACATTCCAGAAGCACATTTTCATCCTCTTTGTAGCCCCCTTCTCTTTCCCCTTTTTTCATTTTTCATCCCCTCTCTTTCTTTCTTCCTCCAGCCTCTCTCCATTTTCGTTCCACTTGTACCATCTGTTTTCTATTTTTAGTTCCTTATATTCCATCTTCACATCTTCGCCCTTTTCCCTTCTTAATCTAGTTATCAATCTTATTTGTTGCTGTAGCTCAATTTCTTTTCTTGTCAGATCGTCATCTATATATACCCCCTTTTCCAATTTGCTTTGTTCCTTCATTATCCTCATTTTTTCCTCCATTAATTTCATCGTCGCCACTATTATTGTGTCTTTGTCCCTCACCCTTATCATAGGGCAACCACTGTACCTGAAACAACCAACAGACAAACAAAAACAGTTCCACTAGTCATCCTCGAAAAAATTAGGGAAAAAAGAAAAGCGAAAGCAAAATGGCAAAAACACAGAACAAAAGAAAACAAAAAACACCTAAACAAACTCACAAAAGAAATAGAAAACAAAATAAAAGAGCACAACAACAACGAGTTCACAAAGTTCATCGAG